CACCGTGTTCTCGGAGCAATCTGGCACGAAGCGCGTTTTCAAAGTCCTTACTGGCCAGCAGGCATTAAGTCCGTCCCCCGGCAGTGAATAATGGACTTACTGAATTTGCAGTTAGTTCCTGGATTGCTTGGATTCTGATCATGATAGTCCGGTTTGCACCTAAATGTTGATTTTCTCAGGTCAGGACAAGCTCCAGCCCAAGGGAATCAGGCTATCGACAACTTACTTGCACTCATAACCCTCTTCCTTATCGGTACAGTCTGCAAATCGTGAACAGTTGTTCAAATGAGGCATGAGACACTCGTTGACTAGCTGAAATCAAAAGTAATCAGCATTTGGTATGAGTTTTCTCAGCGATGTTATCTCGTGAATGGATCCTCTATCATGTGTGTATCTGGACGCAACCTCTGACACTGTTCGGCTTAGGGGGGGAGGGGATGGATGGGGCATTTATCGCTTTCGTTAGTTTATCCTGCCAGTTCCTGACTAAATTACACATCTAACCTCATTAGTACCTCTTAGTTCACAGGAATTTACAGGTAGCATCGGCAGTGACCGATGGGAATCAGCAAAATGCCCCACCAACCCAAACCGCACCCACGTTACGTTTCAGTCGCTTTCGATGATTATGGTGGTCTCTTACCAGAACCCTATGCGATAACGTAGATAGGAGACCAGTCGCCAGCGTTTTCGTATCCTTCCTCTAATCAAGGCTTAGGCTTGGGAAAGGTCACGTCTCCTTTGCGGTACTATCCCTCGTTGACTCTGGTCGTCTGCGCTCTACGCCTGAGTCTTTTCAGGTAAGGGAAACATAGATGCGGCCAAGTGGTCCCGACTCTTCCCCACCCCAACTACGGTAGCGCCGAACCCTACTAATTTCTTCCTGCCACTCGAAACTAGCACTCACTCCGAAGCAGTTTCGGCCAGGTTTTGACGAATCCTTGGAGATGTCGCGACTTCCGATCGGGCATTCGCATTCGTACGAATCTGGTGTATCGCGGCAAGTTGCTGCTGGATCGCAGTCGTTCAATGATGAATCCAAGCATTCGTTGACTAGTTCACGGCATTCACGACCTAAAATTGAATTTCTAAAGGATTGGCAGCGATACACCGTAGTTTTTAGTTTATTTTATTTATTCATTGTTTAGGTAACCCCTAATTCTGGATTTTTTGGCTGCCCATCACGAACGGACCGAAA